TCGCTGTTGCTAGGGTCGTCTATCGCAACCACTGTTTATCCGCGTTGCATAGCGACCAGTGCGCTGGGATTCGGCTCCGCTCGGCACGTCACCGCCGTCGGGGGGAGGGGGAGTGGTGTCCTGCGTAGCGCGACAAGTAGTAACGAGAGCGCTACGTTACCGCCACGTGCCGCTGGGGAGGCAGGGGTCCTCCGTTGCGCAACATGTCACACTGCTCCCTCCTTAAGGCTGTTCGTCCCGAATAGCCTAACGGTGCATCCCCGTTCCTTTGCTTCGAAGGCTGTTCTTGCAGCATCTGTTCTCCGGCCGTTACAACCGCTCCCTTCTTAAGACCAACTCGTCTCGAGCGGTTTCCTTTCAGCTCGCCAGAAGATCCAGTTGTATCCCATTCATCCATCGCTTTCTCCCATGGCACATTCTCTCTCTGGGGAGGCCGGTTCTTCTACATTACCGGTTCCTCCTCTGCTTGGAGTCTCTTTTTCCGTTTTGGAGGGGGTCGTCCCCTCCACAAGGTCCAATCCTTGATCATTTCTTTCTTCGGGGGTTCCTTATGTCGACGTAACAGCTCTTGATGCGTTGTTTGCACTCGCTGACGTCGTTGTTCCTCCTGGACTTCCCGCCACTTGCTGGTACAAGACCGTGGCGCCAAGTCCTTTCTCCGGCATCCGAAGGTTCCCTGGGGAGTTTCCTTCTTGAAGTCATTTCTCCAACGTCGTGCCACTGTCGCGCGACGGGATATCTTCCTGCAGATGGCAGCCAACTTCATCCGGGATTCATGATCTAGTTGAGAGTTGTGTTACAATACAACGTTCAAGGTGTCACAGACTTCACTAACTCAAGTTCGTCTGTGTATACGGTGCAAATATAACAAATATTATAGAACAGTTCAACAAGTGGCTGTCTCTTCATATAACTACATCCCACAGTTATATTAGAAAGCGACATATAAGGCCTCTTATATTCAGCTGCTGACGAAGGATTAACTTCAGTCGCAAGTCAGTGGCCACCGTGCCGAGTGGACCCAGCTGGACCCAACACCCAACTAGCGAATTTAAAAAACAAAACTTCAGTCACAACAATCAAAATGGAAGCAGCGTCCTGGTGGCAATTGCAATGGAAGAGCTTCGGAGAACATGCGAAGATTGTCTGGGAGGTTCCTATCGTGGAGTTGATCGTCCTTATCTGGATTCTATATCAGCTGATAGTGCGGTATGTTCAAGGGAGAATTCAACGAAGGACTACAACAATCATGCTCGAGCTGAAACAACAGGTGCAGAACCTACAAGACAGAGGGAATCATCGTCGTGCTTGCGAATGGATTAAGATCAAGCGAGTAAAGGAGATGATGAACGAAACAGACGAACGCAGTGATGAGATGCGAAGTCACATTGAGTCACTGTTGACCATAATAAAGGCGGCAGAAGAACGCTGTGTGCAGCTATGCCATAAAATGATTTCACTGGGGAGTTTCCTTCTTGAAGTCATTTCTCCAACGTAGCGCCACTGTCGCGCGACGGGATATCTTCCTGCAGATGGCAGCCAACTTCATCCGGGATTCATGATCTCCTCGGGTCCAAGATTTCCTGAAGATGTTTCTCCAGCGCCATGACCCTCTTGGATGGCGGGACACCTTCCTGCTGACGACGGCCAATTTATTCTGGGGTCCGCAATTTTTCCGTGTCGAATTCTTCATTTGTCGCTTGTTTCGGTCCCTACGCCTTTTCTTCTTCGGTTCTCTGACCGGCTTTACTTCGGCGTCTTCTACGGGTACCTCTCGTAGATCTGCCGCATCAGGTGTCATGTCCACTGAGGCTGGCTTTTCATCTTCTGGACGTGCCTCCATTTCTTGGCAGGCCATCGTCTCTCCGACCGGTATCACTATGGGGACCTCTTCTTGTTGTGCCGCCCTTGCTTGGGTTGCTCTCGTCTCCGCGGAAGTCTTTTCTCCCCAGGCGGCCATTTCTTCTCGCCAGGCTTTCGAGTCGGCGTCCATTCTGGCTAGAAGTTCCTTGTGGCTGACCTCCACCTTTTCTTGACAGGAGTCTAATTTGGCCAGAAAATCTTCTTTGTCTTTCCTCCTACTTTCCTCCATCTCTGCCTTCTCTTTCCTCCTCTCTTCCTACTTTCCTCCATCTCTTCCTTCTCTTTCCTTCTCTTTCCTCCTCTCTTCCTCCCTATCGGGTTTCAGTCTGATCGCCATTTGCTCCTGGGCGAACAACAAACGTTCCATCATCTTTTCCATGTCCATGTTGTAGCAGTAAAATACTCGATGCACAATAATTCAATTATTTGTCGAGGCGTGTTCAAGTTCGTAAAACAATTCTGACACCAGTTGTAACGTGTCTTGAATTCGAATCTTGTCGGTCACGTGTATAAGTCCAAATCCCACTTCTGGCACCAAATTGTCACGTGTTGGGTGTATAACGCGACAAATAACTTCACGCCGTATTTGATATAGCGAATTTTATTTCACATTCGCACTTACAATCACCCACATTACAGATTCACAATTACTGCTATCTACAGTAGCACAAATACTACGCTGCAAATGCCACAATACAACTGACTGGTTGCTGGCTAACTCGGAACTAACTCGGAACTAACTCGTAGGTAGCTGCCTTGAAAACTGTTGACGACACACTGACTCTCGCTTGCTGCTCAGCCGGCTTTTATTCCGTTCGCTGTTGCTAGGGTCGTCTATCGCAACCACTGTTTATCCGCGTTGCATAGCGACCAGTGCGCTGGGATTCGGCTCGCTTCGGCTCCGCTCGGCTCACTTCGGCTCCGCTCGGCATGTCACGGCTGNGGGGGGGTCCTGCGTAGCGCGACAAGTAGTAACGAGAGCGCTACGTTACCACCACGTGCCGCTGGGGAGGTGGGGTTCCTCCGTTGCGCAACATGTCACAATATGATTATTTTATGTTCTTATGCTGTGTACTTTTGAAGTCTGTACTGTGTTTCAGCCAAAATATTTTTGCATTTTATTGCCCCACACAGGTGGGTTAATGTTATGCTCTGCATGTTTCTTGTTTTTAACTAATAACACTTTTTCTTTGTTTGGCTTTGTTGCTTACAAGTATACATGATAACATTGGTTAAATTTCCTTGCTGGACAAATATAAAATAGGAAAAACTCATTAACATTCTATAGCAGTTCAAACTTAGGTGTGTGCAGTCCCCACTCTCTCCCCTATGGGTGTCAAACACGGTTCCACACATTAACGGAATTATATGGACTGAGAAGGCTGAGGATATTTTGACCTAAGAGGGAGGAAATAACAGGAGGCTGGAGAATATTGCATGACTTGAATAATTTGTATTCTTTATTTAGTCCTATTAGGATGATCAAATCAAGACATAGGTATAGATGGGAGGATATTATAATGCATATAAAAAGAATTAGACTGAGAAAGTGCAGATCAGTAGCATGCTCTTTGCAGGAATAGGTTCCATAAAAGGAAGAGAATTAGTTATAGTAGTGGTTCCCAAACTGCCTGAGGGCCCCATATAATAAATGACAATGTGATTCAGCAATTTAAAAATATAATTAATAATGTAATTCAATTTTATCAATTAAGTATTGTAATGTGGATGGACACAGCATTGCTAGGTAATGGACTGCGAAACACCTTGCGATTGAATACACGCAAGGCAACAACAATGGGAGTGTGGCATTTTCCATGGAGTCTGTGCCGTGACTGTTGCTATGCAATCGGTTGGTAAACACGTCCAACAATATAGGCTGTTTTCTGTGTGGTCCGTGAGAGGCCTATGTAAGGGGGCTCAATATATAGCAGCTGCTGAAGACGGCTGAAGTCTGGAAGTGATTATAGCAGAAGTAATTGGGACACTGAAGTTGTGAATAGGTGTAAGTGTGGATAAAAATGTGCAATAAATTCGCTACATCCAAGACCGGCATGAAGTTATTTGTCACGTCACACAGCCAACGTGACAGTATACTTAATGTCACGGTATACTGTATGTCTGTAATTTATTTGCCTGATAATGAAGTTAGTGAAATTTTTTGGTGGCACCTGAAAGAAAGTTGAACAATTCCTATTTTTGGGGACACTGTCTATAATGAGCAGCATACTTTGTATCCATTTCATGATCTGTGCCCAATACTGTGAATCTCTGTACATTTTGAGGCACTCAACCTTAGTAACTGTCTGGTGATGTCCTAAAATGAGCTGTCACAGAAGAATTCATCTGTTCATATATTACTGGTGTGAAAAAACGTTATATTTTCTACTATTAGGAATTTTCTATAAAGAGCCCATATTTTGGTATATAGCGCCGTGTAGTCTGAAAATCGGCCGCTACCTGCATCATTGTGGTTTCTTTCATGGTTTATTATTCAATCCTGAAGATAGAAGCAAAATGTTCCTCCGAAACTCGGTTGATTTCCAACGGGTTTCACGCCCTTATATACCCGAATTTAGCACGTTTCACCCCCACTACTACCAGAACCTCAAATCCTTCATTGAACTTATCATAAATTATCTTACGCATATACAAAACGCTGACATCGCTTCCAGCCGTTCAATTCGGAAACCACACGTAGTCCAGACGTGGACCAATCCTGACACGCCGCGGTGTATGTCGTGCGCGGGAGTGCAACCACCACGGATGACGAAGTTTTTATGTTGATTCTCTATTATCTGAGAGCATAATTTCAAGTCCGTTCAAGTCAAATCATCGTCTTCCACATGGATCACTAACGTCATGGCTCTTCCACAATTCACCGCCAGAGCATGCTAGAGTAAGGAGTTTATGATGGTGAATTATTTGTGTTGTACTCTGTTTTTGTACGTACTAATTAATGTAATTTTCGTAGCATAGAGTTTAGAACGATTTCAGTACAGTGTTAGTGGGCACGTAGTGTTTGGTCGGTTATAAATTGAATACATTGCACCAACTGTCCTTTAAGATGAAAGTGTGTTCTTCTAGCAGAAGTAAGGCGGTCATGGGCTAATAGGTAACCGTAACATAAAGCCGTGCAAATTGGTAGTGGTAATGTAGGCCGTGTATGGTGTGTTGATGATGCTAGGTAAAATTGTATTCGTGTACCGGTATGAAACCATATAAACAGACTATAACATTAAGTGCTGTCACCAGTGTTCATTAATGTATTGTAATACACGTTCGTGTGGATCACTGTATGAACAGCCCCCACTAGGTTAGAGGCAAACATTACTCTTTATTTTTAGGGCTTATGTGCTAGCCCTAGCCCATGTCAAGAAATCTCATCAAGGAAGTTTGGTCAAATTTAAAATTAAAAATACTGTGAATTATATAGTATTCGAGGTTCTCACAGCTGTGAACATCACGAGTTCTGAATTCTTGGATGTAACGGTGAGTATGTAGCCCCTTGAAAGGTAACCGACATTTCGGAGGTGTGTCCCATCTGAAACGTGTTTACTTTCAACGGACTACATGGCGCTATATCCCAGAAGACAGAATTCTTCAAACTGTGAATTGTTACTTGCAGCAGTTCCATGAATATACCCATTGATTTATGTAGGAGATAGGGCCTAAATGCATGTTACTTGCTTTTGTCTGATTAATATACCTTTCCAGACGAAATGCGACACAAGACACAACTGTTCCTGCTTTTGATAATACTGGCGTTGGTGGATGGGAATGTAAATCAGCAGGATGCTTCAAAACCAGGACGTGATGAGAGACGACGAAGCAAAGAAGTGTCTAATGCTGAAGATGAACAAGAGGAATTTATATATTCAGATGGTATTAACAGTATTCGCCCAAAAGCTGTGAGAATTGTCCCTGTTCCTGATCTTTCAAAATCAGAAGACAAGTGGAAAAGTGATGGTGTTGAAACTGGAGATGTTGATCCGGAATTACTGTCCGAACCAGCGAAATGGATCCAGAGGATGATTGCAGAAGTAGAAGGGGCAGAAAATGAATTGCTGGATGAAGGAGATGAGGAAAAGATTGATAGGGAAGATGAAATTGAGGATTCTGCAACAACACAGCCGCCAAGAGAGCTAACACCTCTGGAAAAAGAAGGTCAGGAAAAGTATTAGCAACTTGTATAGAGAATTCCAGTGTATTCGTATAAGGGGTTAAATATATGCTCTTGAATTTGCTGTATTGCCTGAGTATATTATTTGTTAAGAACTTTTGACAAGTAGAATAATTTTCCCAGCTTAATGTTTGAATCTTGCTTAGTCATGCTGAAAATATTTTTTTTTCGATCCTGCAAGTGTAATGAGAGCATAGGCAGTGTAGCGACTGGCTATAGGATGGACAACCAAGGGTTCAGAGTTTGAGTCCCGGTAGGGTCAAGAATTTTCTCTTCTCCATGTCATCCAGATCAGCTCTGGGGTCCACCCAACCTCCTATCCGATGGGTATGGGGGGGGTGTAGCAGCTAGGGCATGAAGCTGACCACTCACCTCCAGCTAGTGCCGAGGTCAAGAAAACATGGATCTATACATCCACTCCTCCGTACACATTCATGGCATAGTGCTTAATTAGTTAAGCACAGGGACAACTTGCCATTTTTACATTTACAAGTTTAATAGCAGAACATCACAAAGTTATATGCTGTTTATGATCATATATTTTTCATAATTTTTGTGAAGTTCCCCCATAATCATTGTCTTTACCATAAATGTGAAAACGGTAGTTGTAACCTTTAAGCAGTGTGTATATGGGAATGTCGTCATGTTGTGTTGACAAGAATTGCTTAGGGCCTCCATACACACACACAGTTTGGCCTTCAGTTTGGCCTGCACAGTTGAAGACTGAAAGGCACCACTGTCTGTGGTGTGGCCAGTCGGCCAATTGTTTGGACTGTTGGCCTGTAGGAAACCCATCAGTCCATCAGTTCTACCTGCAGGACCGTAGCACGTGACGTGTGCGACTCAGCAATATAGGTTGGAAGACCATGATTGTGGCATGAAGCCTGCCGGTTTATCTGCGTGTGTATGGGGAAGGAACGGGAGAGGACAAACTGTGAAAGTTTTACCTGTAAGGTCAATCAGAAGGCCAAATGTGTATGTATGGGGGACCTTAAAGATTAAATTTATCATGAGGAACATGGCCGTTCAGCTCTAAAGTCATACCTGAAGGTCATTTAACTGGGCGTTGTGAACATGTACATTGCTGTTATCTTTTGCTAATCTTTCTTTTTTGAACATATTTATCAGATCCCATTGTCATCAGATTTCAAGTGCAGATAATTGAAAGTTGGAATTTGACAGATTCTTTAGTATGATCTAAGGAATGAGAAAGAAGTGAAACTGCTTCTTACTTGATACCATGTAGTTGCTGAAGTAATGTTCAAAAATGTCAAGTACGTTTTGCACTGATGCATTGTTCACCTTTAGGATTTCAGTCTGTAAAGTTTCCAAAGTTAATGGATTATAGTATTTCTGTGGACTGTCTCTTTCAAGTTTCCACAGAGATACAAATCACACACATTCAGATCTAACAAATCTGATGGCCATAGTCCACTACTGCTCATGTGTTCATCAAAAATTTTTGTGGAGCCCACATTGAATTTTCTGTGATGAGCGGTGGCACATTGTCCTACTGACAGTATGTATACTATTAACAGGAAATATTTTTTTTAGTTCTGCATCACAGTTTGATTAGGCTCAAACACAAAGAATGCTCACAGCTGACTGCTTGTGGGAGTAAACATGCATTGATTTAAAGAAATGAAGTGAAAACTTTATCATGGCAGCAGTCTTGCAGCAGACACTGATTGTACCAATGCATGATTCACTACATGCTTACCGCTGACTGGCTAAGCAAAAGCTTAAACAGAATGCAATAGCTATACCAGCATTTTCTACTAAGAAATGAAGAACCGTGCCATCCTGTATCAAATTGATTATTTTTTAAAATAATCGCATAAGTTGGCTATTGACTTTGTAAATTTTGGGGGATATATTGAATCAGATTCATATCCTCTTGAAGTAGTTCTGCCATGTTTAATGAAACTCTTGGTTGAACATAACTAGTTTAGATTTACATCTTTTTTATTACAGCCCTGGATCTGTATGAGAGTGGTCTTGCAATGTTGAATGTAACACGTCCAAATAAGCTGGAGGCGTATCAGTTTCTGCAGCGAGCAGGCAAGTTGGGTCATAGCCAGGCAAGAGTCTTAGTTGCTTGGGCACAGCTCCTGGGTTCTCCCATGCCCCAAGACATTGAAGCAGCGAAACAAGAATTTCAAGAATTGGCAGAATTGGGTGTTCCAGATGCACACATGGTAAGTTCAGTACTTAAAATCATCAATAGATGAAGTTACAAGCCTGAAGTTTTTGATTCTTATGTCATCGTAAGAATTACTGGCTGCAGACAAACATTTCCTAACATAAATTCTTGGTCCCAAATTAGATGCCAGTAATACTTGATAACACAGTTGTTTTATGAATAATTTTAGTATATAAGTTATGTCAACATGGGTCCAATTCTTAGTCATTTTGAAGCTACTGCTGAAAGTCTAAAAAAAAGACAAAGACAACTGTTTATTAAGTCATTTTATTTGGTTAGTGTATTAGCTGGAGGTGCGCGGTACCGTAATTGGTTGAGGCACTGTGCTACAAGCTGGAAGATCATGGGTTCGAGTCCTGATGAGGTGGCTTTTTTTTTTCCCTCCCCCCAATTTACTTGATCCTTCCAGCCTCACAATGGTGGTGAGGTCAACTCAGCCTCTAACAGAAATGAGTACCTGGAATCTTCCTGTGGGGTAAGGGGCGGCTGGTGTGTAAGGGTGACAGTCTTTCCTCCATCTGTGAGTCAGTTGTCTAGAGAAAATATGGGAGCCTCAATGTCTCATGACCCAGTAGGACTTCACAGCCTGTTACAGGGATAGCTTTACCTTTTTTTATCTTTCCTTTTATCATATCAGATATACAAGAATTTTTTTTAATAGTTATCCTTGCTAGTCATTCAACTATTATGGAGATATGGATGTCATTGCTTTCTGGATGGTTGGACTGTCCCATTCAGTTTCTGTACCTCTTGTGAATGGATTTACTTTTTGATCTGACCTTCCCATCTTTTATCAGTCAGTCTGTGTTCAGCAGTCTTGATTATAACTATGGATGTTTGTTTATTTTGTTAGTATATGGTCATTTGGTGATTTACTGTGAATGTTTCTGAGAATGAGAAATATACAGAAATTCTGACTAAGGGGTTTCTGCATCATCTAAGTGTAACTTCATTTGTTGTTCCTTTATTGGTCACAATTTCACCATATGTTTCAGCCTAAATGACCATCTTCAGGTGTACATGTTGTTGTAGTTCAGGACTCTGCTGTTCACTGTAATGCTGTTTTCTTTCCCCCTATTGTTTTTTAGTTATATGGGTTGCACACGATTACTTTTGGTTTTGTTTGGTTTGCTGGTTGTAGCTGCCTTGAGTGTTCTTGCTGGGATGGGTCTGTTTTGTGCTGTGGTGGCTGACGACAGTAACCAACTGCAACAACTTCTGTGTGTGATGCCACAGAAATTCTGATGATAATGTTGCAAATAATGTTCAGCCTCAGTTTTTAGTGAATATGTGGTGTGATCGTATTAACAACTGACCAGTTGGACCATTTATTATTGAGGGATGTATAACAGCAAACTGCTACCTTAGTTTTGTTTAGAATGAGCTACCATTTTTTTTAAAGAGGTTCTTTGTTCACATCTAAACGTGTAACTACAGCAAGATGGCATTCCACTTCATTACAATCCACAAGTAACAGAATAATTGAATTGATGTTGTGGATATCCTTGGATTGGTCGTGGAAGACTGGAGGGATAACTTTCTATTCACCACACCTCACTCCCTTTCACTTCTTTGCTTGGAAACACATAAAAGAGTTAGTTTATCAAGATAAATCCCAGACAACAGATGAACTGCTTCTTTGTATCATGGATGCTCCTGCTTCCATATGGAACAATCTTGAGGACATACAAAAGGCAAGTTCCCCTGTAAAATGAGTTGTTTTGAATAGCAACTAGCATTGTGAATTAATAAAATAAAGTTTCTGTTTAGCTGATGATATAACCAAATTAAATTTTTTAGTTACTAATTTTCTTTGGCTTTCCTGAAACCTACAGTCTATTTTGTTTTTGAGAGGCTTTTGATATAGGTGTTTCACTGTAATTCATTTTATACACATTGACACAGGGTTTGGGATTCCTCTATGCCAGTGGCATTGCTGTAAATGCAAGCCAAGCAAGAGCCATTGTTCATTATACATTTGGAGCTATTGGAGGCAGTTCATGGGCACAGATGGCTCTGGGTTATCGGTACTGGTCAGGAGTCACTGTTGCTGCAAGCTGTGAGAAAGCCTTGGACTTCTATAGGAAAGTTGCAAATAAAGGTGAGTTCAGTCTTCCTTGTCCTTATTTGTAGTTCGTATATCATAATTTTAGAAAATTTGAATGTAGCACTGAAAGAAGGTAGTACCCAGAGGGATAAATGTTAGATAAATTTGGATAATGTGTCCAAATAATGGATTTATATACGTGTACCACAGTATACATGGTTCCTACATTCCTGTGAAAGTCACATAATAACAAAATTATATAAAATTAAAAGACCTTTTTCCTTGAATTTATTGTTTTAAAATGGAGATAATATTCCCAGGTCAATATTTTTCAATGGTATGCTCAGTGACTGTGGTCTTATTTTATTTGAAAATGGAAAAAATGTTATAAAAGTATACAAAAAGTATTAAAATCATGTTAGATATTCTGTTGTGTTAAAAATGTTCTTCCTTTAGTGTTTCCACCTTTATGTGTGTTATCTATCAACTAAGCCTCTCTATCAGTATCTCTTCACCAATGTCTTCGTCCCCAGTTTCCCCTGATGTTCTGCCTTCTCTCTGTCATCTATATATTGTTCCGATTTTGATCTCATGGTCATTTTCCTTTTAGTTTTGTGTCGGGATATTCTTTGGGATTCTTTGTCCATTCTTAAAACATGCCTTTTATATTTTATTTACTTATCTTCCAAGATGTTTATCTTTCAATTCCCTTTGCTTTTTTTTTCCCCTCCACACACCTTAAAAACATCATCTGCTTTACTCTTATCTTTCTTGGATCATATCCATGTTTCTGCTGCATATGATAATATGGGAATGTAGTGAGATTTAAATAAATATATTTTAATCTTCAAATTTTCTATTTCCAAAAGTATATCGCTAGCTAATTGTTAAAATTTTCCAGCATTTTTTAGCCTGCTCTTGTTCCTTAAAAAAATAGCATATGTATGAGATCAGTATGCTCCCTATGTGTCTGTCCCTCCAAATTTCAACTTATGAACCAGCTGGCCGATTTTCAGGAAAATTGTTATGAATTATATAACATTGGAGATGCCGCATTCTGCTTTTTAAATTTCTGCAGTCAGTAACAATAATGTGGCAGACACATGAACTTGTGAGGCGGAAGCAGCAGTAAATGCTGTTGAAGTTGAGGTCCTGAAATGATGTTTGGTAATAAACAGATCTTTCAAAATATGCAGCTTTCATTAAAGTAGCTTTATTTTTTTGTAAAATGTAAAGTGATACAGTGGCCACACAAAGTCTATTTACTTTCAGTATTTTAGTGATAACTAATGAACTATTATAGCTAGGCGTTTGAAATCTAGTATGGAGATAGATTATAAATGTACCTGCACATCATTTAATATGAACTGTTGTGTGTGAATCAGAAATTACAAAAATGACATTGGTGCAAAACTTGGATGTCATATCTGGTAAATTGAATGTAAAATCTTACGTAACAGGTGCTTCACCAAACTTCATAAGTAAGAATGATAATAGTAATAGATCTGTATAAATAGATATCTTTGTAACAGAAGCATGGGCTGTAAGAGTTCTGCATGGGACCCGCTGTTGTTTTGTAGTTTCATCTTGTACTCTTCTGTACATTGTAAGTGTTCATAACTTTCTGTCTGGTTTGTTTCATGATTTTATTTCAACTTGTCCTTGTCTCCTGACCTGTAGTTTATTTTTATATATGTATATATATCCAAAATATCATGTAATCATAAATCTTTATGCTCCCCTATGAAATTTTATTTTTAAAATACTTTTGTCGATTTTCTGTTAACTGTCATCTTCACTTGTGATAGTTTTCAGTACTGCACAGTATTTTCCTTTAGTTATTATCTCATCTGTTACCATGTACAATAACATAGGCAATGAAACATGTTCCTGTCTCTAATTCATCTCATGATTTGAAACCATTTGGGTACTTTGTCATATATGATCGCACTGTTTTAATATATAGCATAAATGTTCTGTCATGTTACACTACAGATCCCCCATATTATTTAGTTTGTAGACCCATTTCACAGTGGTTCTTTGAAAATTAATCCCCTCTTTGGACATATTCCCGCTCACTATCCTTGCAGCAGGTGGATTCATCAGTATAAGGAAAGAAACATGTCCACTAAAATTAATAGGCATAATGAGGTGCACAAAACATTGTCCTCATATTTCTTGCTACTTGACAGTTGCAGAGGAAGTTTCCTTGTCTGGGGGACAAGCTGTACAGAGAGTCCGCCTATTGGAGGAACTGGAGAATCCTGGCTACAACTCCGGAATCTTAGACAATGATCTGATAGAGTACTATCAGCTGCTGGCAGAAAAAGGAGATGTACAAGCACAGGTCTGTGTGTGTCTTGTCCCTTCAGTATTTGTATTGCTCCATCTTTGCACTCATTACTTTTAATAAGACATCAGAATAGCCCAGTCTTGTTTTTGTTGTAAATATGCCATTAGTAACACAAGATTTGTGTGACTGGAAATCTGTGCAGTGGGACAATAGGCCTTACAAGTTCTGTCCAGCAGCACAGTAAGTTGGGCATGGAGGTAAGGGCCATTTTAAGATTGCACTGAAAGGAGGTTGGGAGCAATTGGCTTGTACTTGTAAACTGTGTAAAGTTTGTATCTCCCTGAATTCTTTCATATTTGCAGTGAATTTCTGCTACATATTTGGAGAAAGTCATAATTACAAAGACAAAATAACGCCGTCCGATGTGACTATTTAAGTTTTGTCATTTCAAGACTCATCACCCTTACATGTTTCGATCCCTATGGATCATCCTCAGAGGGCATCAATACTTTCTTGGAAACTACTATTACAATAGATGTTAATTATATACACATATAATGTCTGAAATGCACAATGTACACAGTGTTCAACCTTTCACATTGAGCATTTCAGACATTATCATCATCATCAGTAATGTGTCAGACAACAGGTCCACAGTCTCTTCCAAAAAAAATTCCTCCACTTAATGCGATCTAGAGCTTTCTCCTTCGAATGGCAGTATCCTCTTCTGTCCCCAAGGTCATCCAGCATCTTACATCTTCTTTCTCGTCTTCTTGTCACTTCTATCCGCCCCTCTATCTTTCCTTCAATAACTTTTTTAGCAGGCAGTTTCTGTGTAAAACGTGATCAATCCAATTAGCCTTCCGTTTTCTCATTTCATGTAGGATATTCCTCTGCTCACTGACTCTAATTAACACTTCTTCATTTCTCACATAATCGGTTCAACTGATCTTCTCCATCCTTCTCCAACACCACATTTCGAAACTTTCCAGATGTTTCTGATCTACTGCCCTAAGTGTCCATGTTTCAGCCCCATACAGAGCTATGCTCCAAATGTAGCATTTCACTAGTTTCTTCCTCAAATTTAAGTCCAATTTGCTGGTAAAAAGATTCTTCTTCTTGCTAAATGCAACTTTTGCCATGGCAATCCTGGATTTAATTTCACTAGTACTCCTTCCAGACCTTATATGTGTATATAATTAACATCTATTGTAATAGTAGTTTCTGAAATAGTATTGATGCCCTCTGAGGATGATCCGTAGGGATCGAAACATGTAAGGGTGATGAGTCTTCAATCGATAAAACTGAAATAGTCACATTGGACGGTGTTATTTTGTCTTTGTAATTGTTAGTGTGATGGACCAGAAAGAAACAAATCAAATTCATAATTACCTTTATAATAATTGTGCAGTACATTGGTCTAAGTGATGTGTGAAATGAATGTTGAATGTTGTCCATTGTCTTTATTTTAAGGACTTGGGTGTAGGCTGCATATGCAGAGAAAGTGGATACAATTAGCCATTTGCAAACCTGTATGTACTTGTAACGGTGTGTGTAGGTTGGGCTGGGCCAGCTCCACTATCAGGGTGGCCGTGGTGTACAGCAAGATCACCAGAGAGCTCTTCATTACTTCCTTCAAGCAGCAGATGCAGGAAATCCAATAGCCATGGCGTTCTTGGGGAAGGTTAGTGAGTGTATGTGAAGAATGTTTGTTATTACACAACATACAGGGTGTTTCACGATTTTAGGGCATAACTGCAGGAGGTGATTTCCTAGGTCTTTGTGATCAAAAAAGTTCATATAAACATGTGTCCGATTTTGGACGGTTACGGAGTTATGACCGTTTTAAACTCAGAATAGAAGGTAACGATTACTGACAATAAACGGAACAAAATAGTAAACCAGCATAATACATGATACATTTAAAGTATGAGTGTAAAGTTAACTTCGTGAAATTACCTTTAATTTGAATTTATTGGTGCTTAAAGCTGATTTTTGAAAATGCCACCGTCAACTGCAACACAGGCTACCGCTTGGTTGTGAACCGCGCCGGACATAACCCCCCCCCCCCCGCCTTAGGTAGCTCTAAAGTGTCGAGATAACGAGAACGCTCTGTCTGTAGCTGGCTAAAAATAGTGACCCGCCAGCTGACAGCCACACGAGGCCGTGTATGGGAATGAAATAACGGTCATAACTCTGTAACCATCTAAAATCGGACACATGTTTATATGAACTTTTTTATCACAAAAACCTAGGAAATCACCTCCTGCAGTTATGGCCTAAAGTCGTGAAACACCTTGTATATAACAGCTATGTGAAATGAGTTATTTAAGAAGATAATATAATATAAAGAATCACACTGTAGCTTCCATTAGGCGAGTACCAGAGGATTGCTTTTAATTTTTCTGTTGCCTCATTATTTACTACTTTGATAATTCTGTATATTTTGGTTGTGATTTTTGTGACAGAAGCATGGTTTATCCAGTTTGTTCTCCATATTCTCTGTTGACAAATTTGTCACTGACATAATCAGCCTAATTTTCATTCCTATTCATTTGTAGCCATTTATTTCTTTATCATGCATAGACTTTATTTCACTATTTACACAGTATAGTGTATAGATTTCTTCTTTCTTGATCCAAATTGCAATGATTCTCTATTTTGAAAAGTTCTGTCTTCTGGGATGTGATGCCATATTGTCTGTCAATAGTTGACCTGTCAGTGGACTACATGATGTTATATCCCAGAAGACAGAACTCTTCTTAACCACTGCTGTGAGAGCCTCAGATTCTTAACCAGTTTACTGATCACTGTTTTCCTATTCTTCTGATCTACCACTATGTATTTGGATATTTAATAATTTTACTGTAAAGCTGTCTTCTTTATTTTTAACGCTTTATTTCTTTTTAATGGCATTAGACTGGGAGAAATGATGAAATTTTAGTTATATTTAATTTCAAGTCTAAGAGTATAGATTGGTGTCAGGTACTGTATCAGATAAATGCTGCTCTCTGTAATGTAATGTAGTCTGTAATGATTTGTGTCCCGACAAATCAAATGGATATATTGTTAAAAATATGTTCACTGCTAACCTTGGCATTAGAATTACCAACAGTAATTATCATATCACTTTCTGTCTTGCTTGAAACGCTATATAGTTGTTTGGAAATGTCATTATTTATTTGATTTCATTCATTTTGTGCATAAGTACCCAATATGATTAAGTGAAATACAGAGGTTTGGTTATAATTTCGATTATTTGTGATTGTGTATAATACAACATGAAGTATTGCATATAGAAATATTAGGCTTAAGTATCATTAATATACTGATATAATTATTTGGATAAACTTTCTTGCTATGAGCTTATCTGCTTCAAATCCTTTCTCAAATATTTTGGATTGCTTCATTCTTTCCCTCCCTGGCAACAAAACTTGCTGGTCATTGAAGAGTATGATCCAGTTAGGTCATCATTTATCAGTTTGATGTCCATTCATACTGCTGGTTAAACTGAATATAAAATCTGGATATGCAGATATATCTGGAGGGCAGTGACATCGTGAAGCAAGACAATGATACTGCGTACAAGTACTTCAAGAAAGCTGCTGACTTGGGCAATCCAGTGGGGCAAAGTGGCCTGGGTCTCATGTACCTGTATGGCAAGGGTGTGGATAGAGACTATGGCAAGGCCCTCAAATACTTCTCACAGGCAGCAGATCAGGGCTGGGTGGATGGACAGCTGCAGCTGGGCAACATGTACTTCAGTAAGTGTCTATCTTTGCTACTTTATACATTGATTAATTTTGTAGAAACCCATACATAACCACAAAAATAAAATTCAACTCAGAAGACTTAATATGTGCTACCTCTATAGTCCAGAATACAGATATTGGTTATAGTTGGAGCTGGGAAAGCATAGTCGGCATAGGAACTGGCTGCAGGCTGGATGACTGAGAGGTCAGAGTTCGAGTCTCAGTAGGGTCAAGAATTTTCTCTTCTCCAAGTCGTCCAGATTAGTTCTGGAGTCCACCCGACCTCCTATCCAGTGGGTACCTGGGGTCTTTCCTAGGGGGTAAGCTGACCACTCACCTTCAACTAGTGCTGAGGTCAAGAAAATGTGGACCTATACATCCACTCCCCCATACACCTCCATGGTATAGTGCCTAATTAGTTAAGCACAGGGACGACTTTACCTTATTGGCTATAGTTGTGATGTATGGGGTTGGTATCACATATGGGATTTTGGAATTTTCTCTTCATCAAGTTCAAAACTGTTCTGAAGCCCACCCAGCATCCCATTCTATGAATGATAATGCTCCTTTTCCTAGGTTAGCATGTCTGTGTAATTTGTAGTTTTCCTGTAGACCATACTGAAATATTTTCTGTGTAACCTTCTTATATATCTAAATATAAGAGCATAGTAGTAGTGCTGTGTACTGTGCCCATAGTCTGGGTATGATGGATTGGTCAAGTGGAGTATGGGTTGAGCCGTCGCCGGTGGAAATGAAGACTGCTTGAAGATGTAGTTTAAATCAAGGCGTTCATTATATCCAAGAAATGTAATAACTAGACGAGCAGGTGAATGCGTAAGGCTGTTCACACAAGGCATACTTTCCCCTAACTGACAGAGTACCGTCTGCAAGTACTAAACGTCATATCAAATCAGAGAGAAAATGGTTTGCGACTGCTACGGACACAGTATTTATACAGATTATTTGGGGTGTTGCCTAATGGAAACTTTCCAGAATATTCCACTTGTTTATGAAATTTTATCTATTTGGGTATTTTCCCATGTCTCTGGTCTTTACTAATGAATCCTCAGGGTTGAGCATGGAAAGTTTAAGAGCGAGAGTATCAATAGTTTCCCTCATTTTCTAACATCAAAACAAGATAATTTTGATAGCTTCAAAAATAACATTGGTGAAAGTCCAAGTTACAGTACTCCACTTGTACAGTCTTTTGTTGAAAGTTATTACATATTCTTCTGTATTAATTTATACAATAATTCCATATAACATAACAATTACCCTTTACAATAACATCATAGCCTCCATATACAACAGTAGTGCAGAACTACATAGACCTCTGCAGTGCAATTTACCAAATGAGAAATTAGGAAATTGGATCCTTTTGAAGCTTGCAGGGTATAGAGAAACTATTTTAGCACTTCAGAGTGGCTGTTTCTGGAACAATATATTAAATGTTAGATTATTGTAAGTTTCTCATGATATTGTATGTACCTTAGATGGAGTTACATCAAATTCTATACCATTTTATGTTCTAATGTTCAGGTGGGTTAGGTGTGCGACGGGACTACAAGTTGGCCAACAAGTATTTTAGCCTAGCGTCTCAGTCGGGTCATGTTCTTGCATTCTACAACTTGGCCCAGATGCATGCAACAGGCACAGGCATGATGCGTTCCTGCCCGACTGCTGTTGAGGTAAAAGATCTCTGTGTCTTATTTGTTCCCAAAATATATCTTTTTAAAACAGTAATGGCTACAGTACAGTGCTTTCCAATTAGACCTATTGGTGTTTCACTGGCATTAAGAAATGGACTCTATCTTTTCAGGGTCTCTCTAAATATCTTCATCTCTTGTTTCATAATTTATATATGTATGAACCCTTTTTTTGTGGTGGAGGGATCATATGGGATCATATTCAAGCTCAATTGTATTTTTTTTACAGTTTTCTATACTGTTTTATAACATTTCTTTTGGTAAAACTGGAAGTCATATGATGCATAACATTGAAAGTTTAATATCTTATGGTTAGTCGTACAATAGGAAGCAATCTGTGAAGTTTAATACATTTTAGTACACTGTGATACATATTAAAATAATTGAACTTTCAGTTGTAATTTTTTTTTAATCTTTTTCCATACAAATACATGCAGTTCAGAGATTACTGTAATTTCAGATGTGATGTTGTGTAGCTTGGTGGAAAGGTAGCACTGTTTGAGAGGACTCTGTTACCTTCACTCTTGACCAGAAGATGGGTGGAGCAGGTTCCTCTGAAACATTGGCATCTTTCTACCAGCCTACATAGTGTTGCAGTCCAGAAGACAGAAATCTTCATATTCTGTGATGAGAGCTTCAAATCTTAATGTTTCCCAGTTCATTTCAGTACTGAATTAAACTTTACTGTGTTTTCAGTTTGGGAAATAAAAATTAATATCCATTGTGTGAGTATGTCCATCAGTTTAATAACATTAAAGTTTAATGCCTCAGACTTCTAATATCATTTTCATGATGCTAAACTTTCATAATTCGTAATAATGGTTATTGATCATACAGAAATCCCTTGGTTGAAGAAATTTATACATCCATTATGTTAAAAGGAAGTTTAGATTATTTGAATTTGTTCAATCTCTAAAGTTTAAAGAGAGAGAAGTTGAATTTCTTCGTTGGTAACTGTCAACACATCGAGGATTTAAATGAAAATCTGAGTTAAGAAACTAAATTGAAAACTTACTTTTTTGGTCATTACATTTCCTCCGTATCAGATGTAATGATTTCTCTGCCAAGACTTGTCATTGCCAGAACCTTTTTTGTAGAACACACTGTGCCATGGAAAAGTGAGGAAAGTAAGAAAATACTTGAATACTTTATTAGACCTCTTATGGTTTAAATTTTGGTTGCTGGAATTGGACTCCCTGGCCCTAGAAGTAAGAAAATATGTATGAATATGCTTTTACTTCATAAATGGTATGTATATTTATATGTGCATATTATTTAGAAAATCAGGAAATCTCTTTTTCTCTTCTGTTTGTGTAAAATATTTCATTGCAGCAGCAGAGATCGTGCATGGTTCCATGTTCTAGCTGTCAAGATAATATGATGTCTCTCTTAACACATTTGCTCCACTACCTAAGTTTTGTCACTTACTAGTGCATTGTATAGGCTGTCGTATCCTACCTAGGCTGGATAGTAACATGCTTTGACAAAATATTTCTCTTTTAGAACATATTTTGAACACTTTTTTTTTCTTTTGTTACTAGATGGTGCTTGTAGCTACCTTTTACTACTCTTTGGACATATATAGATCATTTACTATATTTCTTTACAATTAAATACTGCAAACTGCTAGTATACTACCAAAAATAGTTGAAGTGGAATGTAAACCAGCATTAGAGTTGCAAGGAGTAAATGTGTTACCAAGAAGTTTCACTGTACCATGGTCAGAAATCTGTAGAATTCATTATAGCTTCTTCATTTTTAACAGGTGCTGAACTATTCTGTTATCTTTTGATGAAATTTGAAACGTGCTTTTCATTGAACTTATGTGTTGTCTTATCTATCTCAGGCTATTATAAAAATATAAATTTTGTAAAACAGTTATTCAAGAATGTAGCAGAACGTGGCAAGTGGGGTGAAAAGCTGATGGAAGCTCACATTCACTACCGAGAAGGTAGCTTGGATGAAGCATTTGTCACGTATACTCTCCTGGCAGAGCTTGGTTATGAGGTTGCCCAAAGTAATGCTGCTTTCCTGCTGGATAAAGGTATGTTTTTGCAATTTGGACTTTTTTGCCTTAGTTGTTTCACTGAATAATGGTTGATGCCTGCTTCATATTTGGGAAGTCCTAGCTTCAAATCTTGGTGTGTAGCCCAGCCATGCAAACTGAAATTTTATATGATTTTCGTCAGCTCGAAGAAGTTGGGGATAACACTTTAAAATGTGCCATAATCACATCTGCATCCTTCCCAGTTCATCATTAACAGTCATCCTTATATGATTCTATGTAATCTACACAGTTGGAGAAGTGTCATTAAGTAAAAGGTATATTTATCTTTGTGCATAACTGATCAAGCACCTCACCATGAAGATGTATGAGGGAGTGGAGGTATAACTCCATCATTCTTGACCTTGGCATCAAATGGAGGTGAGTGGTCAACTTCATGCCCCAGCTGCTTTATCCCTGGGGAAAGATCCTCTTATACTCATTGGATAGGAGGCTAGGCGAGCCCCAGAGCCAGTCTGGATACTGTGAAGTAGAGAAAATACCTTGCCTCTGCCAGGAATCAAATCTAGGCTGTCCAGCCTGTAGCTTGTCACTATACTGACTGAGCTATCCTGTGTCAAGCAAATTATTTCAGCTCCCCTTTTGCTACCCTTCTGTATTTCTACAAATGTGTCCTCTCACAGAAGCTAGTAAATGATGTAAGTAATGCAGATCATTATCTAGAAAAGTTGAATATGAGCTGTATTGTTTGGCATACAGCAAAGCAGATGTTGCACTTTCTTGAAAAACATTGCCCCATTCATCCATATTATTTATCAACTTGTATTGATTAATATAATGTCGCGTATTGGCTGTGTGATGCAACAAGTAACTTCACACCCTTCTTGGATCTAGCGAATTTATTGCACACTTTTATCCACACTCACACAATTCACAATTTCATTGTCCCAATTACTTCTTCTGCTGTAAGTGCAATAGCAGAAAAGTTATCACAAAGGATAAAATTGATAATTACATTAATCTGTGGTGTTGAAGACTGATTAGGAAGTGGTTATTCTTATCTACAAGAGTATCGTGTTCATTCTGTATACAGTCCAAATGTATGCTGCAACCACCATTAAGAATCTTACAGAAATTACTTAAAATGGCTTAAGCAAAGCAAAAGTTTCTGTTTCTTGCGCTATACTCTAATCACATTTTTTAGAAGATGATTGTTAAAAGCAGTTCATAGTGTACATACTTGAACAAATTTTTTTAGTTTATTTTTTTAATAATATATTGGTTTATAGTTGCATTTTGTAACCGCCCCCTTTCTATCTTTGTATTTATTTGCCGGCTTCAGTAGACCACTTGACTTATCAGGATCATGTTACGGTAATAACTGAGGCAACGGGGAAACTGCATATTTAAAGCCAGTCCACTGCTAGAAATCAATGACGCTATTTCTGCTCTCCACAAATTGTTTATTCAGAAGTGAAATACTATAACTTCATTAGCAAGTACGGAGTAATATGCCCTTTTATTACTATCAGAGATTAATAAACCAAATAAAGACTGATAAATTTAAATAAACTTGGAGAGTGCAGCCCAATGATGTCTGCCTCCGACGAATTCAAAACGCCAAGTTCTTTGAAGACGCCTATCCTACAGGAGCGTCGCTTCATCCCCTGTATAGGATTTGAATCAACGGCCTCTCTCCCAGACAAGAATAGTTTCCTATTGGCTGATTTTAACTGGCCAAATCCATCATTCAATCAGCACTAGACAGTCACATAACGAACTTTGAGAATAAAGAGATCCAAAGATATAGAACCTGGTACCTCACATTTGAAAGCGGTTATTTCTTAGTTTAAGGTCCAATTACACCCTTCCAAAGACACTTTTATAACAGCTACACTATCAGTAAAACAAAATTTACATCTTCGTAAAACTACAGGCTTGCCTCCCGTGGTGGCCTCGTCCCTTTCCCGGTCACCCAAGCTATAGGTAACAAAACAAGGCAGTTGTTTCTGTCCAGATGCGAAAAGCAAGTCATAACATGCTAATGAATCGGTCTCCCCAATAAATCAGTCACTCTACTGAAATGGCTAAAGGGGACCATAGCATCCCTTCAAGAGTTGTAAAAGGTTTGGACTGTCACAATTTGCATCTCTGTGGAGTTCCTATTAAAATCTCTCTCTCTCTCTCTCTTGTATGCATGAAACATCTTGAGAGCAGATAAATCAAGTTTGATTAAATTCGGTACTGGAACATTTTATGAAAATTCTGAAACTGTGACTGATAGATCAGTTAATTATTTAGAAGAGTTCAGTGTCCTGGGATATAATGACATGTAGTCCAGTGAAAGTTAACCAGTATTTCAGAGGAACATATCGCCTTCATGTTAAAAGTCAAAGAGAAAGCAGTGCTAGAACCAGCATGAAACAGGCAACAGTCAAAACTGCATGCTGCCTGCTTCATGTGACATGTTATTCTGAAACTTCACATAACTTTCAGCAGACATATTCACCACCACTGTGAGGACCAAAAATCTTGCAATTAATTGTTTGTTTATGTATTTTCTGTTGCTGATTTAAGTGTATAAAGCCTTTGGCTTTTAACTCATAATGTAAATTTAATTTATTGTCACCTATTTTTTTTCTTTTTTTTTTTATTCTGGTTCGTTGCACTAACAAGGCGATTAAAAATTAAGACAGCTGCTGTAGTTGTTAAAAAATTTAGATATTTTATCCATTGTATTTTATCAACATTATATGTATATATTTTAACCTTCAAAAACATGTTGTAATAGTGGCTTCCAATTGTATTGATGTCACCCTGAGGATGGTCTCTAAAGACCGAAACATGTAAAGGAAGAAGCACTGAAATAAGAAAAATCTTTACTAGTCACACAGGACGGAACTGTTTAACCACTTATGTCACCTATTATGTTTGTCTTTTTCTGCATTCATTCACTCACTCACTTGTGGAGCTGAGCCCTCTTGAGAAGCTGCCAATTGTGCAGCTACTCAAGAACTTCCCAGCATTTTATGGAACCCAAAGGTTCATTACCATGTTCACAAGAGCCCTCCAATGGTCCCTATCCTGAGCCAGANTCATGCACTTAGACCAATTATTGGTCCATTGTGCATCCCCCTTTAATTTCTACTGTCGCCATACCCTACTGGTACTGGTGCGTGCTATCAGCCCCGTTCAGCCAACGAGGTCGGCCGTCGGTACCTGATATTTCCCCCGTATACCAGAGGCATTAGAAACTACTTGGGTGGGAAATTGTTGCCTAATTTTGCTCAGAGGTCTCCTAGAGACATGAGGATCTTTTACATGCCGTAAATCTTTGACATAGGACCTATGGCTTAAAGTCCCTCCCGGAGGACTTGTTCCCTGAATTTTTCCGCCCTTAAAAATTAGTTAGAATATTGTCTCTCCTTATAGTGTTTCTTTAATTACTATTACTACAATTTACAACTGTAATAGCTTTGTGTATGTAAATCAGAGCTTACTTTTCTAAATAAACAGAACTTCATGTGAACCAGTTTAGGTTGGTAGTAGACAGAACAGACAAGGTAAAGATACCCACAAATAAAACTATTGATAATTGAATTGCTGTACGTGAGACCCTGTAGTACCTGTCATTCTATTGAACTATTTTCTCTGTTGCTAACCAGTGACGTTACATTTCTACAGTGGTTCATAGTTTATTATTACATACCAGTTAGGTTTCATTCTGTTATTAAAAGACTGCAGACTCCTTCCCTCACAAGTAATGCTGGTATTCAAATTAACAGTAACCATCCACATTGTAGGTGATGTATCCTTATTTGTGGAACGAGATGTGTTTGTGAGGGCACTCATGTACTGGCGCCGAGCGGCAGCCCAGGGCTACTCTGCTGCACAAGTGAAGCTGGGTGACTACCACTACTATGGACTTGGTACACCTGTAGACTATGAAATGGCTGCCACACATTATCGGCTTGCATCAGAGCAACAACACAATGCACAGGCCATGTTCAACCTTGGGTACATGCATGAGCAAGGACTAGGAATGCAACAGGTCTGTTAATTTGTTTGGTCAGGGAATGTGAACTGATACTTAGTCTGCTTTGTCGTTCTTTGCTTGCTGTACATCAAGTGGATATAAGCATATTGTATTATCCTTTCTCTGTGTTTGTGTGTGTGTGTGTGTGTGTGTGTGTGTGTGCACGTGCGCGCGCATGTATGGATGGGAGGGGACGTGTGAGAATACATGTTCAATGTGTAGTCTATGCCTCTACCCCAGTGGATGGATTTTTTTTTCTTAAAATGTGCTATGAACATCATCCCATTGGAAGGTGATCCCCACCTTTAAAATGTTTCATTCTTTATCAGCTATTTTGTAGGTTTGTGTTTGTGTTTGTGGGTGCATGCATGCAAAACTTCACCAGATCTGTATATTTTGGTGATGACTGATTAACCAATGTGAAATTTGACAGGGAGGCAACATTCAGATTCAATACATGAGCCATTACAATTTAGAAATTCTGCTGTGTGAGTTTTTGTGTATTAGTTTTGAGGCAAAGTGGAAATATGTGCAGAAATAAATCACAAAATTATTTAATTATATTATATGAATAATAGGTAATTAGGCATCTTATGTTCTGCCTAAAACTTGTTAAAAATCGATTTTAATGTAGATATATCTGACAATTCAAAATGGCGGATGTGGTTATGGGTATTGACAAAAGTACAGATAATCAGTATGAGCTTCTAAGTGGTAAGAATGATGTGAATCATATTAATTGTGCATTACTGAATGTAAAACTTCAAACTGTGTCACATGAACTGAAATCTGCATGACAGATTATCACTCTTCTACACGATGATATGAACACTTTAAAGGGAGAATTCATGCAAGGTGATATGTCAAGAAATATGAGTCTGACGAATGTACATAGTTGGTATAGTTCGCTTGCGGACTACAGGCCGTGGTTTTTTTTTAAGAAATTTTGAAGTAAAAAGCTATCCTTGCAACAGTCCACTGAGTCCCACAGGGCTGTGAGATGTCAAAATATGATGGTTATTACATTTTTTCAGGATATCCATCTTGCGAAACGGTGCTATGACTTGGCTGCAGAGACAAATGCTGATGCTAAAGTCCCAGTGGCTCTAGCTCTCATGAAGTTGTCTCTTCTCTTCAGCATGAAATATTTACAAGAGGTGAGTGTTGCCATATGTTTTCCAAAATGATTTTAGATAAACAGGTATTGCCATCTGTAATTTGTAATTCATGCATAAATATGGATGCTTTGGTTGTTACTAGTAAACCCTCCTCCCAAGAAGACATGTGGCAATAACCTTATATAACAAAGGAAAAGGTGAGATGCTTTTTACTTTTGATAAAAATGTCTTTATTTTATGCTTAAACCTGCTCCGTTGGTTCTTGTGTAAGATGTGTTGCTGCCTAGGATATGCAAATTATAAAATTTTCCCCATAAGGCAAATGTATTTTTTAACCCACTCATTACATGTCTATGCAGAAATATTTCCTATATAAGAAGCACAATTTTAATTTTATGAAACTAAAATTTCACATAGTTAATATGTTTTCTATAGTTATTTTATTCCAATCTGCACTTTCATACAAAATTCACCCATTTAATAAGATGGTGATAGACTAACTAGTTCTCATGAACACCTGAAACTGAGTGGAATATAACACTCGTGGGAATATGACAAGCCTGTAAAGAAGTGTACTATCCATGCTTTAGCCGTTTGTTAGTGTTAAGTGAAATATTTTACTTAACTGTGAGGTATTATTTTTTAATAAGAAATTGATGTACAGTGTGACAATAAAGTTCCTGAACTGACAGAATTACAGTAATACTGCTAATGCCATCTGGCAGGGATGAATGGCAATAGTTATAGAGAAAGTTTATTTATGTGCTGTGGAAGTTTCAACTTGTTTGGTTGCTGCATATGAGGAATACAGTTGTTTTGGTGAAGTTAGTTTTTTCTTCATGTCAGAGGTTTCAAAATGAAACAAAGAACAGTGATTAAATTTCATGTAAAATTAAAGAAAACAGCTACTGAAAGTTTGAAATATTGAGAAGTGCATATGGTGAGGAATGTTTATTGATAACAAGTGTGTTTGAATGGCATAAAAGGTACATAGAAGCTCATAAAGTGAGAATGCAAAAGTCACGTGTGAAAACAGTGTTGGGTGCATTATTTAATGCTAAAGTATTATTCATTGTGAATTTGTGCCGGAAAAATAGACTGTAAACGGTAAATTTCATAAAGAGGTGATTAAGAGATTGGTCACTTGAGTTCGTCGCGTTAGGCCTGAGTTTCAGGAAAGTTCTGGGATCTTCAACATGACAGTGCACTGGCTCATTCTTTGGGCTTTGTCTCTGAGTTTTTGGCAAAATGTGGGATCCCCGTGTTATCCCATCCTCCCTACTTCCCTGGTTTAGCACCAGCTGACTTCTTATGTATTCCCTAAATTAAAAATTGCAATGAAAATGATGAGATTCAAGGCTGCTCCATTGATCCAACAGACTGTGACAAGAGAACTGAGGGCAATACAAGAAAAAGCATTTTCTCAGGCATTCAGTTTTTTGTACGAGCAATGTAAATCTTGTGTTGAAGCGGGTGTGGAGTATATTGAGTGATGTAAACAAATATTTTTTATCTTTTTTGTGTGGTATTTTATTGTTTGAGTTCGGGAGCTTAATTGTCACACTATGTGCTTCAAATTATAATTTAACTTTTTCCATCTGATAACTCATGAGGAGTAATTGTAGATACCAGATGTATTCAGGATTGAAATCTCAGCGCCAGAAAGTAACACTACTTGTGCTTTATCTCTATAGCCTCATTTGTACTGTACCTTAAACAGAATGTGTTGGCCGTACATTTTCTCTATAGGAACAAGGCTCGCTCAGTTATTAATATAGATGTAGGCTGGACAGCTCTGGTTGGGTTCATGGCAAGATACAGATTACAGTGAAACCTCACTAATTCAGAATTTGTGATAATTTGGACAACATTTTTTTCCCATACTGTGACCTTGGTAAAAACACACAAACTTTAATTGACGCAAGTAAAGAGGTTGGTCTAGAAGTAAACACAGAGAAAACTAAGTATATGTTACTGTCTTGTCACCAAAATGCAGAACAAAATCATGACATAAAGATAGGAAACAGATGTTTTGAAAATGTGGCACAGTTCAGATATTTGGGGACAACGATAACAGATCAAAACCTGATTCAGGAGGAAATTAAGAGGCGATTGAACTCGGGTAATGCTTGCTACCATTCAGTCCAGAACCTTTTGTCTTCTCATCTGTTGTCCAAAAACATAAAAATTAGAATATACAAAACTATAATTTTGCCTGTGGTTCTGTATGGGTGTGAAACTTGGTCTCTGACATTAAGGGAGGAACATAGACTGAGGGTGTTTGAGAACAGGGTGTTGAGGAGAATATTTGGACCAAAGAGAGATGAAGCCACAGGAGGTTGGAGAAAACTGCATACTGAGAGCTTCATAACTTGTACTCATCTCCAAATATAATTAGAATGATCAAGTCAAGGAGGATAAGGTTGGCAGGTCATGTAGCACGAATGGGGGCGACGAGGAATACATATAGGATATTAGTGGGAAAGCCAGAAGGAAAGAGACCACAGTGAAGATCAAGGCGTAGGTGGGTGGACAATATTAGAATGGATCTTAGAGAGATAGGATGGGATGGTATGGATTGGATAGATTTGGCTCAGGATAGGGACCAGTGGAGGGCTCTTGTGAACACGGTGATGAACCTTCGAGTTCCATAAAATGCTGGGAAATTCTTGAGTAGCTGCAGAATTGGCGGCTCCTCAAGAAGGGCTCAGGTCCATGAGTGAGTAAGTAAGTAAGTACTGTGACCTTGATAATCACACTATCACAATTATTGATCACAAACTGCCATGCATAGTGCTAGCATAGATAATAGTAGATGCACATAGGCCTCACGTTAAACATCAAGGCCATTTTTAAAGAGATTTAGAGTCAAAGCATTCTAGATCTACAAAACACAGTCTCAATAGTACTATTTTTTTTATTGCTAGTGGGGTGGGACTAAGTCCCTTGTACTGCGGCCACTTCTGGCCTCTTGTACAGCCCCAGATGATAGGTGAGGGTGATTGTGGAGCAATTGGTAGAATGAAGATTGGCAGGGGAAACCGAAGTACTCGGAGAAAACCTGCCACAGCGCCACTTTGTCCACCACAAATCCCACTTGACCAGGCCTGGGATTGAACCCGGGCCACCACAGTGGGAAGCCAGCGACTAACCACTTGAGCTATGGCATGGCCTTCTCAATAGTGCTGAGTAATTTGTTTTTTGATATGCAGTCTAAGTTTCAAAATAAAGTTTCATTGACTGAAAGGACATGTGAAGTGCATTTTGTAACTTCCATGAACATGTTTCAGCAGCATTTTAATAATTGAGACTTTCACTAAATTGGACAAATGTTCACTCCCAATTACTCCGAATTAGTGAGGTCTCGCTGTAGTTTCTTTTGCTTCACATCCAAATACCCTATCCTGTGAGTGGTGGATGCTCCCCTCCCCAACCCCTGGCCTGTATGTATGCTTTAATGGCAAAATGCACAGACAGGTGAATTTTAACTTTACACCTTTTACTCTTATCAATGCCTATTGTGTTGCAGAGCCATTGGCAGGAGTGGCTTTTGCTTTTCAATCTGGACCAGTCATTGGGCCCAAACTGGGACCTGTACCTCATTACAGCACTAGTAGGAATATTGGGCATTGTGGTGTATTTTCGACGTCCACAACCGCAATAGGCAACACAATTGTATCCTTCATGAAACATCCAGTGCGTGGAGAAGTGGTAATATGCGTCACTGTAAAGTACTGCCACTTTCTTTCAGGCATAATACTGCCGTATGGTTAGGGTTCTCAAGACTCAGAACTATTTTCTCCACATTTCAGTTTCTGTTATGGGCTGTGATGTAACATTTTTGGGTGTTTAAATTTCATTGTTCGTTCAAACCATAATGGTGGCTAGGAGCACATTTTTGTTTGGGTTTAAATTTCATACCAGGGGGACATGATTGTGTGATGTGATGATAAACAATGTAAAGTTATATCAGTTTAAGTTTATTTAAATGCTATTTCTGAATTGTTGTACATAGTTTTATCATATCACGTAGCATCGAGTGTGTTGTTATTGTTGTTATGTCTTGCTCTGTACATGAAATATAAGTCTTATATCTATATTCTAGTCTCTTATATCATGGTGTCAACCGTAGATTGAATAAGGAGATTGATATCTGCTCACCTTTTTGCTCTACATTAAAAGTAAAAGTAGAGATGTCTCTGTGCTAAGTCATGAAGAAGGATTAGGGAGTGCAGGTATAGCTGCATGCATTCTTAACCTCAGTACTATAGGTCAATGGTCAGATTGATGCTGTGACTGGTTTACTCCTGGGAAAGTAGCCTTCCACACCCATATGTTAGGAAGCTGTTTTGGCCTCTGGGTGGGTCTGAACGCTTCTTTCTCTACAGTACCCATTTGAATACTGTATGAACAGTAAAGTAATTCGTGGTTTCTTTTTTATATTTCTTTGTTTCTGCTTTCCATTTATTATGCTTTCTATACAAAGTACATAAAAACATCTTAACATGGAGGCATGCTCATTTGTCTGGGATCTACTAGCTAAAGTCCACTATACATGCTTCTTGTTAATTATTAACTTCTTATGTAACTTTACTGGCACATCATACATTGCCAACTACTTGCAGTTGGTGAACATTACAGGCATGGATGCTCTAACAATCTGCTTCCTAATAGATACTAGGTGCTGTCTGTATGCCCGTGGACTAGAAGGAGATGAACAGATTGGAAATGACCTCTCATATGAATGATTGTTATTAAAGGCATTTAAATGAGGGGCTGACAGACGAGTGGGGCATGTGGAGATGGAACAGTAACAATCCGAGTCGTCTGTGTTAAGATTTGAACAGTCTGGTAGGCTAGAAGTATGCGGCATTTCATGTTCATCACAAAACCAATTTGATATGCCTCTGTTATGATGAATTTGGTCTAATTCAGTATGCATGTTTATGTTACATTTTTTAGATCTGCTCATTCTAGTTCTCTGGCACTTTGTAATATTCTTTCTAACCATAGTCGTACCATTGTCATTTTCCTTACTGGACATCACTAATGGCAGAGAACTGGGACCAATGTAGCTTCCTTCTTCCTTGATGAATGGAGACTGACTGGTGTAAGAAGCATTATCTGCAGCCATCCACAGCTCATTGTGCACTGTGTCAATGGCTTCATCTTCTTCACATGGAATGGAATTTGTGATGTTAAGTTGACGTCCCTTTTCTAGCAAGCTGGTAGCCTGACTGAGGCTCTGTACTAATGCACTGGCCTCCCTGAGGAATGCTGCTAAGTCCAGTTTTCCCTCTATCTTCCTACTTCTCAGCTCCTTTACATCTACTGAACTCCAGCTGCGATGCAACTCCTTGTTCTCTCTCTGATTTTCTGGTTGGGAAGATGTCTGTCTGCTGCAAATAGGTTAGGAAATGCTTAAGAAGTGTACGAGGTAACAAAATATTTCATGTCTAGATATGTCTTAAATTGACATACTCTGTATGTCTAATGTTAAGTTGATTCCAAGACTTGTGGTCACACTACTGCTGTTTCATCTGTGAAGCACAGTTGCGGGCCATAGTTGTGATAAAATGTAAGTTGATGGAAACTGGGAAAAAAGTGAATTTTGTTTTGTTTTAAATCAGCTTTTGCCTAAAGAATCTGTTTTGGTATAGCATAGCCAGGTAGATCTCTGGCCTTCTGATTGTGTGAGATCCAGCCGTTATATTTGCTTCCTTTTTCTTTCATTAGAGCAATGCATTGTAGACATTATACACATGATGATTATTAAGTGCTAGTTCTAATAGTGCAGGTGGAAAATATCCATAAAGAAACTCTGTGAGATGTCTATATTAATGATGCATGCTGTATATTTAATAGGATTGTGTGAAGTTTACAGTAGGCCTGTATTTATGAAGCTGCTGATATAGTCTTAAAATTTCGTACTCACCATGAAATGTTTTTTGCCTGATAATCTGTGTGTATATTCAGATTTAGTTTTTTTATTGTTTTTAATCTCTTACAACAACATACAATATCCTGCAGTGGACAAGATGGTTATAATGCACGCTTTCTGACACATTCTATTTCTGTTGTGGAAGTTAAGTTTTTGTTACAAGGGCAATCATCATGATGATAATGTTCAGTATGCTGCAAAGATTTTATACACAATTTGCAAACTTGTTCATAAACTCACCTCTCAAATTTAGTGTACACAGTAACCATTAAGATCTTTCACTGTATTCATTTTAACTTTCTTGACTAAAATAACTTTAGCAGAAGTTCCATGTTTTAAAACATATAGTCACTGCACACAGTTTCAGGATCCTGTATTATGTGAGTTAATTTCAATGCAATCTCGGAAGTTTGGTTGGTTGTCAGATTCAAATAATGAACCTAGACATTTAAAAAGGAGAGGTAAAAATATCTATTAGCAGGACCTTCTGAGACTCATGAAAATTCGCCAGAAATTCAAAGGTTATTGAAGTGGCACATGCATGATGTTGGTATCATTTAAATGACATGTTAAGATAGTTCCTATTAGGAAACAGTCATTGTAATGTTACTATATCGGTGCATTACACTCTTAGGGGACAGATTTCTGACAATGTGTAGGTCATATTAGAATGTAAGGTGGCATATCTACTGAGAGCCAGCATGGTTTAAGCAGAAGAGATGCCCGTTACTGGGTTACGGCATGGTAAAGAATGATACAACAGTTGAACGCACAATTCTTTGTTAGCATGGCAACAGTTATTGATGCAACAACAGAAGAACTGGCAGAAGTGGTGTTTTCTGTGCAGCACACCCCAGCTGCTGCATGTCTGTGCAGTATTGCAGCAGCAAGAAAAGGTATTGTTTTTTGGTCTGACATGAGGCTATATAGCGAGGACCAATGGGACAAGCAAGTCAGTCGAGTTTAGAGAGAGTGTGCAGGCAGACAAGTCAGTCTGAGTCCGAGGCTGTTGTGAGACAGTTGCCCCTGGTGGAGGTATGGAAGCCCCAGTTGTTGTTGTAAGTTGTTGCATAACAATGCCAAGTTGGCTGTGAGATAGTCACTGGTCAGTAAAGACATGAACACAGAAGCTGAGGGATGTACGGAGTTGGAAGTCGTTAGCAGACAACCGATGAATACAAAGCAGACTGAGAAGACTTAGTGTGTGGTGTATTGAATCTGTGATAATACCATAGTTATTTGTAGTTACAATCTGTAAGTGTGCAATAAATCTGGTTACCAGTCCAAACACTGTCCATCATCACCCAAGTCACATGGCAGAATATTAGTTTCTAATTGACTGAAAAACTATTTCCCAAGCTGTAGCTCCACTCCACACAGGAATGATTGTTTTTAGGAGAAAAGTCATGTATTTATGTCTCGCCAGAGGTTATATAGTACATTTAAAGAAGTCATCCCCATTCCTCTGATATCATTGAATTGAGAATTCTTAAATTTTCATCACTGTGCACTATACCAACAACTGTTTAGACGTGCATGGTGCGCTGATTTTACTGAAATGAACATCATTGCATGGAATGAAATAACCAATACCACCAATGATATTATGTTTCACCATTAATTCAGATACCAGTATTTTCCCCCTACTCTATATGAGTTCATCACCCCTCATAATTTTTGCATAATTGACTTGCCATTGTGAGATGCACCCTGTATGCATTTTCAACCCTTCATGAATTATTTGCATCATTTGGACATTGGTGATTATGCCAGGCAAGTCTTCTCGAGTGCTTGAAGCTGTTAGTGAATTTTCTTCAGGCCCATGCACACATACCTTATACAGAAATGTATAAATACAATCTTGTTTTGTGCTTTGATAGGGTGCTGTCCAAACAGCTGTCCTTTAATAGACCTTACATTGTGTTGCTAGTATACACATTGTATTGATGGACTGTAAACTGCCATTCTCTTTAAAAATCAGAGGTCTAGGATCAAATTTTCAGCATCCCTTGTGTATCAAGATGAGTAGACTGCATTTTTATTTTTGGACAGTGCTAATTTAGACACGGTTGTGTATAAATGTAAGACATTTGAATACTTTTTACGTTCCATCTTCATATAAATTGCTCTTCATGAGGCAAACTCTGAATTAGCTAGTCTTGAAATGTCTCTTAGTCATCAGCAAAACAGAGCTCATGCAGAACATTTGATTAATATGAAAATTACAGATTAATACAACATTCTTTTTAATGTTCTGTACTGACTCCATAGGTATTAATTTTTCCTGCATTAACATAAAGAAAATATTATTCAGTTTTGTTTATGAAGAATGAAAACTCTAAATATATCTGTCTTTTTGCTGAATACATGAGATAATAACAAAATTAAAATGTTCTCTTTTATAAACACCTCCTTCAGAGAATGACCATACTTCATGTTTTAACCCTGTTTTCTTTGTCCTGATTTACAAAACAGGATTAATAGTCTAAAATATTTTGCTGGTGTAATCTTTCCACTTAAGCATAAAAGCATTGCTCCTACCTGTTGAGAGTTGGTCTCCATGTCTCAGCAGATATGACATTTAGTAATGAGTTCTTTGTGATCTTGTTCGGTTGGACCTGTGATGAGTCATACACATTATGGTCAGATGCAAACACCATCTCTGTATGTAGTGCCCCACAGCCACTTAAATCAGACCACGACACGGACTTCTTCTTGATGTTCTTAGTTCGTTTGACTGGATGATCCTCCTCAACTGTATTGTGTGGAAATATATTTCTGTCTGTACCAAGAATGAGGTTCTTGATATCTGCCAAGTGTTGGTAGCCTGTAGCCCCTGTTATTTGTGTAGGAGTTACAGTTACATAAGGCAGACATGGGGCATCCTCATCATCGGAAAAGTTGTCCAGATTAATTGGAACAGATGTAGAAGTGTTGCTGTTAGGCACAGTTGTTGTGTGTGACCCCTCACTGCAGGTCTCATGAGTGTTGGTCACTTGTTGGGATGCTGGTTGGCCATGAGCAAATTGGGGTAGTCCTGTTCCTCTTTGTGGTGCTGGCACATTGCTTTGCATCCCACTGTCTTGTGTGTTATTGTAACACTGTAATTCCATATTACACCAGCCATTCTCATTACCACTCATTTGCTCTGTGTTTTTATCTGTCTGTACTCCGACACTGTTTGGTGGATGGCTGCTATTGCCATGAATTGGCTTCATAATTATTGGATTTGATGTATGGTCAGGGAAGAAAATGGCAGTAAAATCCTCCGGCTCTAAGACTGGGTTGAACATTTGCAGCAATTGAGGGTAAGTCCCAAGCAGAGTAGTATACATTAAAGTCACATTTGGAAATGGAGTTACTCCAGTCTGAGTGCTGGCTTCTACTGGTAGATGGGATACAGAATATTGAGTACCTTCTGTTTTAGTGTTCTGAGCTGGTAGAAGCTTTGTACTACCATTATGGTTGCACAGATGTGTGAGTAGTTTCTTGCAGTGTTTGCAAATTTTCCTGTTTATCCAGTACAATATTGCTATATTCTCATTGCATTTTATTACATCTCTGTTGGAACTGTTATCATTTATTGTTTGATTTGTGGTTTTCTGTAATGTACAAGTGCCTTTTTTAATAGTATTATGCAGGTACAACTCTGGAGTTGTTTGTGACATTTTGTCTTCACATTGTTGCCTGTCATGATCATGTTTGGTGTACATAGTACACGCCTCAAAACATAAAATGTGAGGATCAGTCATTAAGTCTGGCAAAGGGAAAGATCTGTAGGATTCAGGCACAGGGCAAGATCCACATGTTGATCTGAGAGTTCTGCACGAGCAAGTATCTGGAAAAGAAACTGTATTACTCAGATTATTCTCAGATTTTTCAGTTACTACCACAGTTGTGTGTTTTATGCTAGTACTCTCATACTCAGCAGAGGTTACATCATTACTGCCATTCTTTTGTGTATTCTCAGTAATGGTATACAAATGATGATCACTCAGTTGTAATGGTGTACCTTCTGTGATGGTTCCTGTGTCCATATCTAGCGAATCATGAGTACTTGCACAGGAGTGTGCCTGTTCCTGCACATCTTTGTGGAGACAAGATGATAATTGATTGATCTTAGCCACTACTTCTGGCTGATTGGTGTGTTCATGTCCACACATGTCGACTTGTCTGGGACTCACCATGTCATTTGAACAGATGTTGAAATTGTCTGTTTCCATGTCTGACATCTTCACTGCGATGTCCCCAGAGAAACATGCTTGTGTTTGTGTTGAGATATCTGTGAGTCTTTGATCATTCTCGTCAAATTTCTTGGTCTTGAATTGCTTTCCAGATGAGATGCTGATGACATTCCACATGGAAGGTTTCTCTTCTGTAGCACTCACCACATGAGTGGAATCCAAACTATCGTCAGAGAAGCTGTCTTCATCTGGAAGCCTGTTGTTCTTCATGATTGGCAGATTGCTCCATGCTGGTTCCTGTTTCATGCCATAGGCATATTGTGTGAATAACAGCCTTCTGTTTTCAGTGAAGAACACAGAAGGACTACAGTTGAATTCCTCCGTGCTCACAGCCACTTCTTTCACGCGCAGCACGTGGGCATCAAAGTCAGTCTGGGTCTCTGTGTTATTGAAACGTCGTGTCCTGCTCCTTTGTGCTTGAATGACCTTTTTGCTAAGTTCTTGCAGTCTTGCTCGCGCCCGTTGACACAACTTCAATTCATCAGGTTCTGCAAGATCATCTTGATTATCCTCCTGCTCTGGCACCACGTCCACAGGCTCAGACTTCATTTCGACCTTCTTCTTGGCACTGTACAATCTCTTTGTTACAGCTGCTACAATCTCAGCTCTTCTGGCATCTTTATTTTTTTTCTTGAGCATCTCACTCAGAGAGCTCATGTCTCCAATGCTTGATTTCCTCTCTGTTGAACCTGTGGATGTTGAGTTGACACTAGATTTTATTTCAGTGGAAGGTGTCTGGCTAGGAGTCACACTATTGTTTGACTTTTGTCTGTTCAGTTGGTCAGCCTTCTCTCGTTTTGTCTTGTGCACAGTAGACGTTCCAAACACGCGGTGTATCTTCGAATCAACACTTTTCGTGGAGTTGAGGGAGTTCTCTGAATTGCTCTGGCTCGGACCTGCAAGGAAGAAGGATGGATGAAATTAACATTAGTAAATTCTTTATTTGTTTACGTAGTCTGGCATACCTTATATATTTCCAGTCATTCATTTAAATGGATGCAGTTTCTAAGTAGGTTTTTCTCACGTAGGATTTTCTTTTATACAGAATCTGGATCTGTAAATAGTAAGCAAAATGTGTACTTTAACTCCTGAAAATGCAAATAAACTGTCCTGCACGTTTTTTTTTACAAAATCTAGATCTTCTGACTCAATTTGGTCGAAAGATACACATTTTCATACCATTCCAATCATTTCAAGGGGCTCAGATCTTCATCATCATCATCATCATCAGTAATCTGTCAAGACGACAGGTCCACAGTCTCTTCCAAAACAATTCCTCCATTTAATGTGATCTAGAGCTTTCTCCTTCAAATGACAGTATCCTCTTCTGTCCCCAAGGTCATCCAGCATCTTCTTATGTCTTGTTCCTCGTGTTCTTGTCACTTCTAACCGCCCCTCTATCTTTCCTTCGATAACTTCTTTTAGAAGGCAGTTTCTGCGTAAAACATGACCAATCCAATTAGCCTTCCGTTTTCTTATTTCGTGTAGGATATTCCTCTGCTCACTGACTCTAATTAACACTTCTTCATTTCTCACATAATCGGTCCAACTGATCTTCTCCATTCTTCTCCAACACCACATTTCGAAACTTTCCAGATGTTTCTGATCTACTGCCCTAAGTGTCCATGTTTCAGCCCCATACAGAGCTATGCTCCAAATGTAGCATTTCACTAGTTTCTTCCTCAAATTTAAGTCCAATTTGCTGGTAAAAAGTTTCTTCTTCTTGCTAAATGCAGCTTTTGCCATGGCAATCCTGGATTTAATTTCACTAGTATACCTTTCATCATCTGTTAACAAGCTACCCAAATATTTAAAACATTTCACATTCTCAGATCTTACACCTTTTTAAATATGTACCTGTTTATAATGTTTGTCAATTGGATATTGTTATAGCCCTCTCTTTGTGTTGCAGATATTAAACTTGTTCCTTTCAGCAAACCAGATCTATGATACAGTGATCTGCAAACATGTTGACCTCCTAAATATGACTGAACTTCATACAGAAGAGATCCAAATTTTCTAAGCAGAAATCATAATGCCAACTTTCTGTTGCATAGATTTCTACACCTGCAGATCCATTATAATTATTATTCACATTATATATATATATATATTGTGACGTGCTGAGCTATGGATGACGCCCCCGCCAGCCGTGATGCGCCGAGCGAAGCCGAAGCGAGCCGATGTTAGCCGAGTCCTAGCATCCTGGTCGCTAGGCAACGCAAGTCAACAGCGGTGACGTCACCAAGTAGTAACAGCGGTTACCTCCGCTAGCGTTACATAGCAACACAGCGACATAGCAACAAGGGTGCCTATTACGTGGCCGTTTTCCCGTATTGTCCGATCGAGGCTACATACGGAGCAGCGAAGGCTATTCACAGGTTGTACTGAGTTGTACTGTGACAGCCGCCGAGTCGAGACGTAGAGTCAGCCAGTCAGTTGTATTCTGGCATTTGGAGTGTACTAATTGTGATACTGCAGATAGCAGTAATCGTCAGATTGTAATTTGGATGATTGTAAGTGCGAATGTGAAATAAAATTCGCTACATCGAATACATCGAGAATTTATTTGTCGCTATATACGCCCGATACGTGACAATATATATATATATATATATATATATATATATTGTCACGCAACAAATAACTTCACGTGGGTCTCGGATTTAGCGAATCTTTATTGGACACTCACACTTACATCCCTTACAATTATTATCACTTGCAGTATCACCTGACTTCTGGCCCAGTACTCCAATGCGACGTTTCAACTATCCATGGCCGTGGTTGGATCTCAACTGTCTCTGGCGGCGGCTATCCCAAGACTGTCTCATTCTCGTCTGTGTTGTCTCTGGCTATGCTTATATAGGGGTTATGTGGACCGGATACCAGACACCATTCCTCACGGTTTCGTTACCGCTATTCAGACAGTCTGTTGTTACGGGAACGCTCCTTATAGAATATGCCGGTAATGTGTTTCGTCTCATCCGTTGTTACTCAACGACAATTTGTTGCTATGATTTGCCACTGCGGGAACTCCCCAATTTCCACGTATTCGTTGCCGTGGAAGTGTCCGTTCCGATTGTAGCGGTTGTTGCGGCGACGGATGTAAGGTAATGCATGACAGTGTATATAATGTGAATAATAATAGTAATATATATATATGTGTGTGTGTGCGCGCGTGCACATGTGTTGTGTAAAGGTTATATTCCTTAAACAGAGAGCCTGCCTACATTAAATTTGTTGGGTATAACCGCACCATTGTCAGGTTTATAATTACTGACTTATATTTTCAAGTATAATCTTAATGTGTCAACAAGTTTATGCTGTTCTAGCTGCAATGGTTTATTAGGTATGAACATCAAACCCACAGGTAAAGAAAATTTTCAGGTGTTAGCCATGTTGTTTTACATCCTGCAAAAGATTACTTTAACAAGAATTCTGTATTTCAAAGGCCTATTACTGTAAATCATTTTGTGATCTTAATAAAGTGATATTGGTGTCACTCCAACTTCACGGAATCATGCATTCTCCAGATTGTTACTACAGATTATAGGAAATGTAAATGTCAGATGCTGGGGTGGCCTCCAGTGACATAACATTCGTACCAAGTTTTGTACTATTTGGTCTGCTGGTTCAAGATTTGAAACAGACATGTAGACAGCTTGATGTCATGAGCCTAGTCTTTTTCTTAAGGAAGGAAAGTTGAGTGATAACAGTAAATAAGAAAAAAGAACACTTTATGTATGGTTTCCAACAAATTACAAGAAGTTCTGGGAAGGACTGATCATCTACTTTCCTTTGACATGACATGGACTGCATAGAAAACGATGCCTCCAACAATTCTTTGTTGCCATGGGAATGTCTTTACTGAGTTGTTACCTAGCAACGATAAGGGGATAAACAGGCACATATGCATCCAACCCAACAATCCTGTTGTTGTGTGTATTCATTGCTGCGGGAACATGCCAGCCTTTCATTGCCTAGCAATGAAAGGAGGGATGCAATTTACTGAGCCTTTGCCTAGCAACAATAGGAGAGAGACAAGCACATAGATGGAAGAGATTTATGAAGAACGTCTTTGAGATGGTCTCGGGTTTCATGATATACATACAAAGTTTCATAAAGATTTGTTGCTGCATTCAAAAGTTAGTAGGATTTACAGACAGCATGGAGATTGCATAAACCTACTTCATTTTTTCAGAATAAGGAAAATAGAGTGAAAACAGTTATGTATATTACAGAATACCATGCTAAATAATGTAGATATTACAGTAATAATTTTATATAGTTATGAACAAATAGAATAATAAAATCCATAATTCTAATTGCTTAATTTATTTTACCTTATTTCAGGATGACTCAGAGAGATCAAGAAATAAGACAGCACCTTATGTACATGGAAGTTCATTGATTAACATAGGTTGAGAATGTTACTGTTTTAGGTGCCACTGACCTGATGACTCAGTGTTGGTAGAACTGTTGCCACCAGAAGACAGAGCCTCCTGTGATCCATACTGTTGGCTGCTGTTCTTGGGGACTCCCCCACTCTTACTACTTATTTGCCTTCTAGAGTCCCCTGTGGGCTTTGTGTACACCAGGTCACATGAGCTGAATGTTCTTCTTAGTTTTGTATTCTTGTTGGGCTCATCTGTGCTGCTTTCCACGTCCATAATGGGAAGAAGAGTGTCTTTTGATGTTGAAGTCTTCTGACAGTTAATGAGCTGTGTCTTAATTACTTGTGGTGTCTGGGTCTGCTGGTGTTCTTCTACTGAAAACATAATGATAATACTACTTATTGACATGTGTTATTGTTCTGTGTTCCAAGTATCATATTTTCTGCTTTTATGGATTCTTTGCACAAAGTGCATCAAGGAAGCACATAATGGTGAGGTTTGTTTGTAGGCATGTTTTATTGATGAACTTTTGTGTTTGTAATAACTAAGAGTTGTCGACCTAACTTCCATTTGATCCGTACCGTTCCATTATAAGTCCTGTTTTATGTGAAGCTCATGATAATGAGATATAAAAAAATCGTTCTAATTAATGTACGGATTATTCGCTATAACAATCATATCTGTTACATTGACTCATTTAATTCAAAGCTCCCTAGAAGGAATAGGAAAATGAGGTTGCTCAATTTTAAAATCAAAGTGCTCTCATATAATAAATAATATTCTCTTTCTGAATTTCTCTTTACCAATAGTTTCTGTTGGACTGAACTTCTGCTCTTCGTATGTCGCTGAGAGGTTGAACTTTCCATCCTCGCAGGAGCATGCCCAGTTGAGGCGTGATGTACCCTGCCCCATAGTTATGTGTTCTGAAATAGAAAAAGAGTAGTACTTCTGTAGACTCCTAACACTAATACAAGCAACAGTAGAAGGGGAACTTTTGTATTCGGTCTGCTCCGAGGAAAAGCACGGAGATATAGGAAGTTTCTTGTCTGACAACAGCTGTAAACATTCATCCACAACAATGGGAGATGATATTTTCCGTGGAGTCCTTGCAAAGGAGTTATCTTAAAAACAAATGGCGCTTCTAGTTGAGTTCTGAGTTCTTGGTGAAAGATAGCCACAGAAGTTCATAGTTGAAGAAGTGTTAGAAATCGACCTGTGAAGACTTTACCCATGTTTACTTGGAGTGTGTGATTCAGTGAGACTGGTATAGTTCCTGCGTTTCACTTGTGGTACCAGGAGAGGACCAGTGTGTGTGTAAATCATCGATAGTGCTATATTTAAATGTGGTTAAGAGAACTTGTAACCAAGGTGCTAATAAATCCAGTCATCCGAACTGGAGCCTGTCATTTTCATCGCACATACCACCCTACACATGACATTTTGGTGTCAGAAGTTGGCAGTTTGGATCGTACTGGATTCACCAGCAGTGGTTACGACCATAAATATATGACAACGGGGGTCAGGAGTAGTTGGTTCGGACTGAAGTGATTATTGATCGGAAGATTTATTTTACATTGCCACTCGAAAAAAAAAATGGAAAACACAAGATCTACATGTCGCCACATCCCAGAAGGGTTCACACAAGATCTACACAGGGCCATATCCAAGAAGACGGCATACTTCATAGCCACCACCATGAAAATCTCAAATCTTACATGGTGATAAGATGTTCTGCGTTGGTCAGATACTGGAGAAAAATGAATACACTAGGACAGTACATCATATATATATATTAAGAAAGTCAGGACAAAGTGATATACAATCACAGCCACTGAATTTGGTATGCCCATAATTTGTAGCTGTCTTTCAGTGTTATGTTTTAAAATCTGCATGTGATTATAATTCATCTTTCTATGACCAAGTAATTTTCTTCTTAGTTCCTATTAATTATTCCCATTATGCTGTTTTGTGTTCCATTATTGCTGTGGACAGGTGATGCCTCTTGACGTCTATGTGATTACATGTAAGGAAACATCGTGAGGCACCAGAATTGGCTGACCTCATGATGTTCAGTTATTATTTGCCAGATGCTCAAAATTAAGCTCATTCCTGCAGTAAAAAGGTGAAGTTGCCCCTGTGCTTAACGAATTAAGCATTCACCGTGAACATTTATGGGGGAGTGGATGTAAGATCCATATTTTCTTGACCTCGACACTAGCTGGAGGTGAGTGGTCAGCTTCACGCCCCTTCCGCTCTACCCCCAGGGAAAGAGCCCCCAGTACCCATTTAATATGAGGTTAGGTGGACCCCAAAGCCGGTTTGGACAACATGGAGAAGTGAAAATTCTTGCTCCCACCGGGACTCGAACTCGGACCCCTTGGTCGTCCATTCCATAGCCAGTCGCAATCCGGGCTCTTTCACATTCCTTCAGTAGATGTCTCTCGATAAAACCTGTCTTGCCTCGGGATTGCGGAAGAAACTATTTCTTAATAATGTGCATACACTCCTTCCATGAGCATATCGCTTAGTCAGGTCGAGAAGTCTCTGTGATGATTCGAAGCAGATATGTAACATCAATGTTGAGACTCCCAAGTATCATGCTAAGCCAATATACATTTAACTATCGCTATTATCATATGTAAAGCCCAAGGTTAACTACACGTCACTTTTCTGGTGGTTCGTTTCTTGGTAACGATAACTCAGTCTGTGAAATATGCACTTGAACAGGCATCTCATCGCTTGAGTCATATCTTGCAAAAGAATATGGCAAGTTTCCTTTCATCATCATCATCATCAGTAATCTGTCAGACGACAGGTCCACAGTCTCTTCCAAAACAATTCCTCCACTTAATGCGATCTAGAGCTTTCTCCTTCAAATGACAGTATCCTCTTCTGTCCCCGAGGTCATCCAGCATCTTCTTACGTCTTCTTCCTCGTTTCCTTTCATTAGTTCCAAAATGTAAAGTTGGCAAACGTCGCGGTCGAGTGGGTAGTATTTCCTGCTTCACATCCAGGAGATCACAGACTTAAATCTTTTCCCGAAGACTGGCTATAGTTACATTTTTCATGGTTTTCCTCCCACCCAGCCTCCTACCTAATGGGTGCCGTGGGCTATTTGCCTGGGAGCAGAATGCCGGGGGCGTGAAGCTGACCACACACCTCCATCTAGTACCGAGGTTAAGAACGGTAGCGTTGTTCTTCCACTCCCTATACGCCTTCATGGCGTGATGCTTAATTACGCAGAGGAACAGCTTTATTTTCTCAGCGCTTTTTCTAAAAGCATGCTTGCTGGTATTGTCACTTTCAGTTTTAGCCTCAAGGTAGGAACAACAATGCACGGGCAGATGTCCGACTCTCAACTTTTGGTAAGTTTGCAGGGGTGTCAGCCGAAAAGCTCTGTGTGTGTGTGTGTGTGTGTGCGCGCGCGTGCGTGCGTATGCGCTTGCACCACCAAGTACACCAGAAACCAACTTTTCTGTACATTATCAGCATTTCCACGAACAAAAGTAAAGAGATGTTAACGATAATGAACGCAAGTAGTCGTTCTCTACTAAAACTGTTATTAACACTAAAAAAAGACACTCGGGAAACGAAACAGAGTACCCTTTTGGGTTACGTATAGAACAAGAATTTGCTTCTCTTTAATTTCTTGGTAAGCAGCAGGTTTAAACTGCCACTGTAGACCGAACCGTTGTAGAGTTTGTGCATTACATATTGGTAGCTATATTTTGATCAGATATACATTCCTTGGATTTATTTATCACGCGATATCTAGCATTCTAAAGAGCACGAACAATTGCCTGCAGTTCCAGGTGAGATGACGTGAATCAGCAGTGCTGGTCGGGCTTGGCTTCCTGTTTGAAGAGAATACACCCCCCCCCACCACCACCACCAACTATCATGGCCGTGTGAATTCGTGTCCCAAGAATAACTTGTCAACGAATTGGCAAAACTTTGCTGAACTTGACATGTCATGACACTGGTAACCAGCACACTTTCAGTTCCTTACTATTTCAGTGGACTACGAGTACTTATGGACTGGACGGCCGGAGCTCCATTCCTGGCAGAGGGAAGAGAGTTTTCTCTATTGCGTCCAGTCCGGCTCTGGGCCTTACCCAGCATCCTATCTAATGGGTACCGGCGGCTCTTTCTCCGGGACGTGAATCTGACCACTCTCCATCTAGTGCAGAGGTCACGAGTGATGGAGCTATACCTCCACTCCCCCATACGTCTTCATGGCGTGGTGCTTAATTAGTTAAGCACAGGGATATTTTGCTTTGTTTACCCAAATGGACTACTAATATAATGGAACGATTGTAACTAGTTTAATCACTGTAAGATTCCGAATCGTTACATTACATAACAAAGCGCTAACCATCTGATATAATTATGCTGATTAAATCAGGAAGAAGGGGTGATATATGTAGAGTGCCCGGGGGAAATTGAAATGCAAGTAAAAATGTCGAGAAAACTGAATGGAGGTCACTTGGGAGAGCTATAAATAATATACAGCAATACCTCGCATAGTCCGGTTTGAAAATTTCAAAACAAACTAAATTTTAATTGAGCAAAATACAAATACATTCTAAAAAAAATTAGTGCACAAAATTATTTTTAATACATAAATGATCGGTTTTTCCTTTATACAGTCAAGTCTCTTTCTGTGCGGTTTTAAAGTTATGCGATACGATACATATTTCAATTTCTTCTGGGGTTCCCAGTTGTATATTTATGCTCGGGTCGTTCGTTCCTGAGCTGGAGGAGGTGGGGAGAGCACTACATTAACGGAATTTTGGAAGAGCTACAACATCAGAAACGTTATCGAAAATATAGGCGAAGCGTGGCATGAATTAACGGCAAGCAATATGAGGGCAGTATGGAAACATATCATAACACATCGTGCAAATGATTTCATTGGTTTTGTAACTCATTTTGCTGAAGTCACTAATAACATAGTGGAAATTGGACAGCAACTTGGTTTCAACGAGTTAGATTCCGTCAGCGTAATTGAGTGCATCAAATCGAACACTAATTAACTAGATAATAAAAAACACTTATTATCATAGATAAACAGGGGGCTTATGAAGAAAGGGAGGACAACTTAGACAACGACGACTGTGTTGAAGTGCCTGCACGAGAATTAGCAGCTGAACAACTATAAAAATTTATTGGAATGGGTGAAACCTTGTCAGAGCATATTATGGAAGTTTATCCTAATATTGAACGTAGCCTTACAGTTCGCCGAGCGATAAACAATGCAATTCGTTGCTACAAAGGAATGTATGAAGAGAAAGGGCCAAAGAAAAAAAATGTGCAGACATTAATACTGAAATTTTTAGAGAACAAAAAAAATGACTTGCTAAAAACATGAAATTTTAAAATTATTTCTAATAAAGACATTTGAATTTATTAATCGCGTTTTATTTATTGAAAAACGGAGATTTTTTTTTGGAACCAGTTATTTTTGGTATGTATTTAGTTCCTCGATTAGTCCGGTTTCAAAGAGTCCGGGTGATTGGCGGAACCGATTACCCGGACTATGCGAGGTATTGCTGTATATACAGATGTCCCAGGTGTTTGGTGCCATACTTCAGGAGCGTACTGAGGGTTCCCTATGAAACAACTTCGAAATATGAACCCATGTCCTCAAACGTAAAATAGCAGCGCTAAGGTGGCATTTAATATCATTTTGTTTAAACTTGGGGCCTCAATGTCGAAGAGCATGCACAGGCATATTACCGCCTCCAAACTCACCTGCTAGAGTAGATGTTGGAATTGGCGCCCTCCATTTTCAATGCATGCCTTACATCCACGCAAGAAACTTTGGCGCACCCTTTCAAATATATCAGGTGTTTCACGGATCACGTCACATGCAACAATTATTCTGGCCAACAGCTTGAATTCATTATCCACAAGCGTGTCG